ATGTATATACACGATGTCATCCTATTCCTCTCCCTCACTAATATTAATGTTCTATATACTTACGACGTCTTGTCTCGTGTGGAAAATAAGATATCTCGCCCCCAAGGTGCATAATTTAGACATTTCTCCCCTCTCTGAGTGTATTACGTCTTCACAGTCTTTTCGCCCCTTTCGTTGTATGGCCCCCCAACTGATAATTATTGCACAAAGGCCTTAACATGACAAACTTGTTATACCTACCGTTACCGAAAACATATCAGTTTCATCTCATTTCATTCATGAAGACCACCTTTTGTGAATTAGCAATTATTGGGTATGATCTGAAGAATTATTCGAACTTATGCAGATCGGGAGGGTGTAATCCACCTCTGCCCGCAAAATTGTTGAGAATATATGAAAGCCGAATCCACAACTGCTTTATTATATTCATGTATTATAAAATAACTCTTACTTTAAAAGACATGCTAGCCCTTGATCGGTTAGTTTCCGTCTTCATTTGCCTGTTACTCGGCATCATGAAACTGTCCACCTACCCCTCCCCTAAGCCAACATTCACACTTCTCTCTTAGGGCAAAATGTTGGCTTTGGGGAGGGGTAGGAAGCAAATTCAAATAAAAGGAGATGTCCTTTGACTAGCAGATCTTCTTCGATTAGCAGTTGTCACCCTTCGAGTTGTATTTTCCGTTTCTTGCTATTTCTTCTTCGTAAAACGTGAGAAGCCTACGAACCTTTCCACCATTTTCTCTAGCTCCACCGAACCAGGGGCCCGTTTCGCCAAAATCACGATAACTTTTCGGGCTAGGAAAACTGTTTCCTGTTTGCCGTGTTTGCATTCAATATCAAAGTTTCGGTAATTCTAAAAATGATACAATGAAACTATCAGTTAACAAATCAAAATTGCATGACTGGTTTGTGAACTAGGAACTTTGCTACTATTCAAAAGGTTCTGATTTTTTTCGGGCCCGAATTGTTTCCGGTCCTTTCGAGAAACAGGCCCCAGCTCAGCTAACACGCCCTCGTTCCCAGGGCTTCTCGGTTGTCGTCATTTTTTCTGGCAATAGCCATTACTATTGATGTCATTTTATCGGACGTCGCAAATGTCTTCCGATTTTGGTCAAAGCTAACTGGTTATAAAGAATTAGGGTCAGTTCATTCGTCGTGTTTCTACTGTGCCGAACTCAAGTAATGTAATTGGTTTAGAGACCTTGTGCTTCTGCCCTGCTTTTGTCAAACTTACTGTTCAAGAATTACGGTCGGCACGGCAAAAGCACGATAAATGAATTGGGCCTTAGCCCGGGGATTTGAGCCAATCAGAAACGGAAAAAAAAACTGAATGACTGATAATGAGACCTACACATTTGCCCTACAATGCTGATTCAAGATCTTTTTTTTTAATGTCTCATGTATGTACTTTTGCAGCTTTTTCGAACGATTGGGTATGTTTTCAGGAANTTGGTTTAGAGACCTTGTGCTTCTGCCCTGCTTTTGTCAAACTTACTGTTCAAGAATTACGGTCGGCACGGCAAAAGCACGATAAATGAATTGGGCCTTAGCCCGGGGATTTGAGCCAATCAGAAACGGAAAAAAAAACTGAATGACTGATAATGAGACCTACACATTTGCCCTACAATGCTGATTCAAGATCTTTTTTTTTAATGTCTCATGTATGTACTTTTGCAGCTTTTTCGAACGATTGGGTATGTTTTCAGGAAATACAACTTTATTAGAAAAAGTACCTTAAATGCTTGACTAAATCGCAAATCATTGTTTTTGGCTTCAGCGGGCTAAAGACCACCGCAGGATTTATCAAAAATTTTATATTGAAGATCTTTTCCCTAAAATCACGAACCGTTACCAAGAGAAACACGGAGAGGCCTTTCCTATGTCAGGTGAGCAAATAATTTCAATCAAAAAGAAAATTTTAACTTCTAAAAAACTGATCTGCAATGGTTTGTCTTGCTCGAGGCACGACAACATTGTTTAACGCCAATTCAATCAATTTTATAGACTTTGAAACTGTGTTTGCACCAAACCTCAAATAACGATTATTATTAAGCGAACAAAATTTTGCATTTTGTTGATAATATGCACCTCACTCAGTAAGAATGAAATTCTCTTTTAGCACATCGAAGGCTGGGATGTAGATTGGATAGTTGTGACTGAGAGTGTTTTGCAAGGCTTTAAAGATCCTATTTAAATTCTTTTTATTTATAGTTCAAGCAAAAGTGGACCATTTGCAAAAGAACGTGAATGAAATAATGGTGAAGCTTGATGCAATACTAAAACAAGTAGGAGGAGAATTCCAACATCGGGTAAGCAGAGTTTTTCAGGTCATGCCGTCTAGAAAGACCTTTTTCCGATAAACGCTGAGGAATACGTTCCTACGCAGTGGGCCATTACCTTAAAAGCGTTGCGCAGTAATTAAGGATCGAATATCTTTTTTCTAATTTTACTGTAGGACCAGACATCGATGCAAACTTCAAGAAATTTACAGGAGGCTGCGATTTCCTACCATTCGGCTGTTTGACCGGAAATGAGAAGAGAAGAAAGACATGGTAGACCATACAAGACAAAGAGGCTCAAGGATGCCATTGACAAATAAATCACTAAATTAATATAACATTGATTTAAAATAATGAAACAAACGCAGGTGCCCAATTTGTTTAATCTCCAATTTTCACATTATGTTTAACGGCCCTTGGGCTCGTTTCTCGAAAGTCCCGATAATTAACAGGCCCGCAAAGCTGTTGTTGTTTACATGCAAGATAGAGGTTTCAATAGTTTTGCATTTAACATGATAAAACTATCAGTTAATGAAACAAAAAGGAGCAGTTTGTTAGCCAAGACCCGCGCTCTTTTTCTTTGTATTTCGATTTGAAAATCTGATTTCGGGCCCGAAAAGTAACCGGGACTTTCGAGAAACGGACCCCTTGAACTTTAAAAAGAATTCATACGTATCTATCTCGCATTCCCGGCGCGCATTGCACATCAGCATCACCTTGGTTACATAACCGGGTGTATAGCTGTTTTGTCTTTTCGTCTTTTATGACTTGTCATCAATGTTGGGATAGCCCGAGCGTCTCAAGAGTGTTTCCTTTGTACCTACTGCGATTTTATTTCTACAGGCATGCAGAGAAAAACAAGCAAAGAGCTCTTAAATTCAAACGTAGAGAGTTAAGTCTAATAATTGACTCCATTATCCTCAAATAACGTAGGGTCGCCGTGATCTATCCTGCGTAGTTGGCGGGATTCTTGTGCCCGGGGTACTTTCTTGCTAATCCCGAGAGTACGCAGGCTAGCCGTGATCGAGCGCTTACTTGAATAACAGTCAGGAATCAAGTTATATTGAAAAGCATTTCGCGCCTCAGTTTCTTCCGTTTAACAGCGTTCAATAGATCTACTTGTTCACGGTGTGGTTAGCCTGCGAAAAGATCAGTTTCTCCTCGCTCTTCGCCGCCGGGGACGATTGGCGAGGAGGAACGTCTGAGACTTGGCGGCAGAAATTCCATACTGATGACGCAATCCAATTCCTCCGCGCGAAACGTCCCCATCGGCGAAGAGCGAGGAGAAACGGGTGTTTTCGCAGGCTACGTTGTGGTGTATATTTGACTGGACATAACACTATTAATCTTGTTAACATCATTCGCTAACGCTGTTTTGAGTGATTGTCAACTTTGATTTTGCAACAAAAATAGAGCGAAGTTGTTGTCAAATATGGCTAACAGTTGCACAAAGGTAGCTTTGACGCGCATTAGATGAAACACCCATATTGTACCTTTAAGGTGAAAAACTCTACGACTGTCACTCAGAGCCAGCACATCTGATACCTTTGCCAATTAGTTCGTTCTCAGTTCAACTTTACTAATTACTACCTTTGACGCCAAACAAACAGGGGCACCCAACGACGGTTTCCTCCCAAATTAATATTCATGAAAGGCCTTTTTAGGCTATCCAGAGTATTTTCAGACCTCGAGAAATGCATTCTAAACGGCGCTATAAAATTTGTGAGATCTGTTCGGTCATCCTAGGGGAACTTATCAGTCTTTTCGAAATTACAGGGGCTTCAGTACTATTTTCCCTGAAATTTTAGATGCAATTTAGCGCAATACGAAAAAAAATTAATTCCTCTCTCCATCACATTTTTGAATCCGGAAATTTTAGGTTTCCTTTTTCCTCCAAAAAATAGCCTAACCTGGAGAGTGAAAGTTGAAAAATTAAACTTCTGAAAATCCCAGAATTTTTTAGATAAGCTTCGAAAATTATACATGGATGGAATGGTCATCGAGTAATAGGCAAGTATTTGCTTCTCCGAACAGATAATTTACAGAAACAGTCGTTGGGTGCTCCTGAACAGAGTTTAATAGGTTTATAAACACATTTTGTACTGTATGTTTTGTACTGTATGTAAGACTCTGATGTGGCCCTGTTGCTGAAACGATGGATAGCGCTATCCACCTGATAAATCATTGTCCAGTCAGGGATAATTGTTAAGGCCGGGAGCCAATTGTACTATCCACTAGATTAAGATTTATCCAGCAGTGTATAGCCTTATCCAGGTTTTGAGCGACTGGGGCCAAATCTGTAAACGTGTGGATGTCTTGAGAATTTCCATAAGTAGCAGACAGCTGGACCTGTCTAGTGTGCTCAGGTTCGACGTAAGCAAATAAAAAATGACAAAACATATAAAATCAGCTGTTGACTGAATAGTGTGTTATTGGAATTTTGAATAGTAAAGTCAGTTAGGATCCTTACTAAGCAAGTGTAGAGCTCCTCAATGACTTGCTTTTTGTCCAAATCCTAATAACTTCCCAAGCCTTTAGGCGAGGGAAGTTATAAGGATTTGGACAAAACGCGCGTGAAATTATTCCCTAATTTCACTCGTCACCATTTGATTACACATACAAACAAAAGACTGCAATGGAATTAGTCCATAATAGTGCATAGTATTACTATTAGTTTTCACTCACTATTCGAGTTTCACATTTTTAATGGCACAATTCCATGTAGCATTCAAGTCTCAACATTCAACATTCAAGTTTCAACATTCCAAGTTTTAAATCAATGAACTTTACAGATGAATAGTTGACCTTTCAGGAAGCGAATCCGCTGTATAGTAAAAGGGCGTGTGCGCAAGGAGTAACGCAAGCGAAAGGAGGTGAAAGACAGACCTGCACGGACTCCCAATGTGGTTTTTTTGGTTGCGTCGCATTATCAAATGCCTTGAATTTTGGCGAGGATATAACGCCATATTTGTTTACCTCTTGCTAGTTGGCACTATTTGTTTAGTATCGTTTCACGGTTCAAGTAAAATCACCCTCTGTATGGGTAACGGCCACTACGTATAATTACTTTCAATAGCTCACGGTTTTGTGCTCAAGTCTCTTCTGAGAATTACGAGATCATAGACCCGTGCAAAATGTGCAATAAGCCCTTTGCAGGTTTCCATTCACGTAGTACAAGACTGGCATATTGGGACGCAATAGTTGCCCTGGGGCAAGACCAACAAAAGGCATACATAATTTTAAATGGTAATTTCCTTTGTTTGCCTTGTCCCAGTGCGACTTTTGCTTCCCAATATGCTGGTTTCGTACCACGTGAAAGGAAACCTGCAAAGAGCCTATTTTGTACCGAAAAGCGGAGCCAATGTTGATCGCTATGTGAGCTTGGGACCGCCTGTGTGTTAACAGTTGCAATTTGAAGACTGAATCTTTTACAAATTTCTTCCAACAACCCTTAAGGTAAAACATTAAAAGGTAGGTGCAGTTAAATTGTATCTACACTATGCTAAAATTCGACCTTTTGCTACTAAACTGGACATTTTCGTCAACACTTTGGCTTAACAAGCCTACTGGAAATAGCGGAAACCAAATTCGGGTCTACCGTTCTTTATTTAAATTTGCCGGGTGTTCGACACTCGCCTTTAGCAGACATTTTGCACATTACCTTCAAAGGTACGTACGTCCTAATGAATGTTTTACCAATGAATGAATTGCAAGAAACAAGCGAAGACGAGGAGAACGTCATCACTAAGTCAAGAAACGGCACCAAGAGGATTCAAGAAGGTAATGTAACAAGAAAAGCTGCATGGTCTAACTTACTGCTTCTGAGGCCCGGTTCAGAAGCCGAACTTTTCATCAGCCAAACCCTGAATTCGAATTAAGGCCAACCCAAGTTATTTAGATCGGCTGAATTGATTGAGACGCCGATTATAAATAGGCTTTCCTAGGGAAATTAAAATTAGCAAGCGTCATTTTATTCTGAACCCCTTTCGAGGCTTCTCTAGTATTTTTAGAACAAGAGACAACTCAATAGAGCGAGCAAAACTATATAAAAATATAGAGTATTGCAACAATCAAGTAAATTTTCCTTGAAATATTGCGGTGAGGTTATGTCAGCTTTGTTGGGCCAACAATGTTGGGAGTTGTTGAGTCCGTTTGCACGTAGCTTAACTCTCAGAGCAAAGCCAAACTAATTGACAAAACGTCTGCTAGCCGCTTACTAGTGGTGGTTGCTCTAAGGAGGTTCAACTATTCAAACAAATACATTCAAGCTCGGGCTCACCCTGTCTTAAAACTTTGTTTATTTGAAGAAGTGAAACAACGCTTATCTAGTCCTTACTTGCATCCCAACAACAGGTGCTGAAGACGCTGTAAGCTTCCGTGGGTTTTGCCGAAAGCATGTTCATTCACGAGAGGATGCGGATCACCAGGATGAAGGTCAGTTCTGTCTCGACTGTTTTGTTGAATATTTCAACCAACCATTTATTTGTTAAATCAAAACAAAAAATTACAAAAACAGAATAACAAATGAACTGCCTGATCATGACAGACCATACAAAAACTCACAGAATAGTAGAAGCTAATTGAAACTAGTTGGGCTGATTAGATGATAACAGCCTCTTAAAAGCCCTCATAAACAAACAAACTGTATTTTGAAACTGTTTGAAAACTAGTTAAAATGTATTTGTCATGAATGATTTAAGACATTCACTATTTTTACCTCAATTTGGGGTCTTTTTATCAGTTGTATTTTACGAATAAAACCAAAATAATCATGGGAGTTTAAAATGTATTTGAGATCTATTTGAATTTTAACTATTTGTATAATTTGAAAGGTTTTCCCTGTATTTGAAACTACATTTTAAACAGAATACTTAAACCACATTTTTAGAACAAGGGTACTGACGAGTACTCAAAACCTTTTTCAAATACCATAATTAAACTGTGATTTAAAAAGAATAACTTTTAATCAGGGATTTAATATGTAGTTTTTACAAGTAAAATACAAACATAGGTTTTAACGACAAAGTTTAAACAGTATTTTGAAAGGAACTCCACTACCACGACTTTAAACAGTTCACAAATAGTATACTTAAAATATGTTTAACGCACTTTCAAGAGGCCAGTTTAACTTTAAAGGTGATTTAAAATAAAGGACACAATGAAATTCTTTCAATCAGGATTTAAACATGCTATTTTCACAGTATTTTAAAGGCGAAATACCAACTATTCCGGTTTAAAAGCGCTGTTTGCTACGA